CAATGACTCTACCATTGACTACATCCCTTGCCTTATTTTACAGTCTTAGATTAAAATATATAAATCTTATTGCCTCAGTGTATAAGTATCCATAGAATACCATAAGATCTTGACATTTCTTTGTAGTAAACCAAATCACAAAATGTGAAATAATGTCATGAATGTTTTTGTGCAATTTCATACTGTGTTTAGTATATCTTCCTTAATTTGTCCTACATCATTGATCTCCCGTCAAGAGAACATGAAAGTCTCTGTAACATTTTGGATGATTTTCAAAGAGGATAAAATGCTGTTTTCCTTGCTTTTTGATATATGAACAGTGTCTCTTGGCTCGTGTCTAAGATTCATAATTTAGCTTTGCTATAAAGGCCGTGTTTGGTTAAACTGTGAAAATGACTTTTATCCAAAGGGAGGAAACGCAAGTTACATGTACTCTGTGCAGAGTTCCAGATTTTTGTTTTCTATTTTTTTTTTTAATCTTATTAACATAAAATTCTATTGCCATACAAAATCCAGCACTACCTTTTTACCAGTACAGATGTGCTCCAAACTTTGGAAAGTCTAAATTTATAGGTATGATAAATTCATTTTTGTATGACCTAGATAAAGAGTTTGAGGCTTGGCACGGTGGCGCAACTTGGGAAATTGGGAAGCGGCTCAGTGGTCAAGTGCCCCTAAGTTCAATCCCTGGTACCCGACCACGCCCCCCCCCCCAAAAAAAAATTGACAAGATTTTTTTACCAATTTTAAAGATGGATTAAATTTTGGATCTAAGCTTTATATTTTTAAGTCTAAAATTTCAAAACTAATTTGATTTATAGATTCAGTCATAAGAATTGTATCTGCAAGTTGGGCACAGTGATGCATGCCTATAACCCCAGCAACTTAGAAGGCTGAGGCAGGAGAATCCCAAGTTCAAGGCCAGCCTGGGCAGCTTATCAAGACCCTGTCTCAAAATATAAAAAAGGCTGGGGGTGTGGCTCAGTGGTATAGTCCCCTGGGGGTTCAATCTCCCCATCCTCAGTATCACACTCACAAAAAAAGGTATAGTCCCTATTTTCAATTATTCTGTTTGTTTACCTCTTTGTTTGGGGGCATTATTAAATTTTCCCTTTTTGTATAAAGATACCGCAGAGTGATTAATTGTATATATGATGACAGAGTTTAGCCTTAGGGTATCCATCTTCTGGAGGAAAAATCTTTCTATTCAGTGTTTTTGTTTAATGAATGTTAGATATTTTTAAAATTATTGCTTCTACCTTTGAAATTCTTATTTAATAAATTGTTTTTTACTGATGGAAAAAAAAAAAAAAACAACAAAGGAAGCCATTGAGTTCCCTAAACTAACTGTTACATGTACACAACAGGCTGCATGGAAAGCCCCTGCTTCATACTGACCAAAACTCAGCCTGTTTCTGGGAAACTCCCATTTGTGATCATAAGGAAGTTGTGTTGGGTCTATGTACACATAATTGTTTCCATTTATCTCCTCGACAACCTTCCACTGTACTTCATACATAGGTTTCTGTGCGGAGAAAAGAAAAGAAAAGACATAATCACCTTTTAATGATCAATGCCTCAGTTATTATAGCACTCAGGGGAGAGAACAAATCAATGGTTACCTGTAAATATTTGTAGGTCAGAATCATCACAATGATGCACATCATACCAGCTGTGATCACGAAACCAATCAGCAAGGGCGTGAACAACGTGTGGGGATGGGTTTGCTCTAAGATGGAAGAGAAATGGGCATCACAAACTATCAGCTAGACAGGGGCTCTGCACCTTCCCATTCTGACCCACCTCCGTCTTGCAGCCCATGCATGGGACACAGCCATGAGTTTCAGATCCTCAGCCTAGCTAGCTACAGCTGACTCTCAGTATTCAAATGAATTGATAAAACTACAAGTTAAACCAGATCACTAAGAAGTTGAGATTTCTGTACCACATGAATAATTGTATATTGTTTTTTTCCATGAAAAGCAACATCTGAGTGGACTTTGTACTTCAAATTCCTGCCTTGGATCACTTTAAAATGAAATTTCCTTTATAGGTAGCTTATTATTTTCAACTTTTTGTTTTCTTGTGTTCTCCAAGTTTTCTAAACTGTGCATAAATGTATTTTATGACCAAGAAAAAATGTTCTACAAACTGTCCTTTTTATTTCTCTGAAAAATCAATGGAGAACAATGGAAGTTTCCTTCCTTCATTACTCAAAAAACTGAGGAAACAGAACATTTTGGCACTAGTCTTTCCCAAATCAAAAAATAAAAAAACTCAAAAAAATCCTAGGTTTCCAGTTTGTCTTCTTCTAACTTTATACGAATCCATCAATTTGTCCTCAAGAATCATTTAATTTATGTTAGAAGAGCTGGTCATTATGAGGCAATTTTAAAGAAATGGCTGGCTCACATGGTTACATGAAGGAATGAATTACTTTATGACATAGTGTCTGGCAAAGTATTGACTTATTTTAAAAGACTGAAATTTTAAATCGAATTTAAAATTTAAATTGCTTGAATGATGTTTGTGAATAAATATATTCCCCTATTTACTTTCTACCCCCTTCTAATGGAGACAATTACAAAATATACAATTAGTAAGAAAGAGACAACTGTTCACACGCATGAGCGTGTACAAATGCACACACATAAAACATATGATAATGTGGTTAAAATTACTCTAGTAAAAGCATAACTTTATTAACAAGCTACTATGGAATAAAATTTGGCGAGTTTGATGACAATATGGTGTGATGCAGGCATTATCAGAAATGACACGGTCAATGTTGGAATGGACTTAAAATCATGATTGATATGGTAGACTGAGCCTAAATATCCCCTTAAATTGGATTAAAAAGAAATATACCTTTGTTGTTACCTTTAAATGCAAAGTTAAAATAGGCAGAACTCTTGCCCACATCGTTGTGAGCCTTACACTCCACTGTGCCATTGTGCCGGAACACACTAGAATCTATAGAGCTCTGAACCACGAGTTTTCCAAACGGTGGCACAGATGAATTTTGAATCTGCACATCCACGGGCTGTACGGGAACGGAACATCTAGAGACAAGAAAACAGCACAGGCTCACACTAGGAGAACAAACGGACACGTCCAATTCATTGCATTTGCTTTACGCTTGTAACAAAGGGATTCATGATCAATAAAACTCCCTTGCAGAGTATTTGGAGTCTGATGAGGGATTGAGCACTTTTGTGGTCCAGGTAGGGACCGGAGAGGGAAAGGTACTGTGGAAGAGATTTTGGAGTTCGATGTGGGTTAAAATCCTGCCTTAAACACACCTATTCTGCTGACTTCTCACAGGTGATATAAATTCTCCAGGACTCAGTTTCTAGAGTGATAACACCCATGCTGGAGGGTTACTAAAAGGTTAGAAATGAATTATAGCAACTGCCATAGATCCTGGCATACAAGAGATCCTTAAAACAAATATTCAACACATACTAAAAGGGTGTGGCTTTATTAAAATATGAGTGGCTGAAAGGAGAGGCATAAAAGAGGAAAGCAAGAAAAATCTAGAAGGGCAAGGACAGAGAAGCCCTCAGAACTGCAGAAGCAAGGACCTGAGGCCAGGGTTCTGGGTGGGCAGGTACCGCCCACCTCTGGTGCTGCTCCACCACACTGGGAGGGAGCCTGTTCATGGCCAGACCTTGGCTGAACTACCCTGACTCCATTTCCCGTTCCTCTCTGAACACCTACCTGTGTTAGGTGTTATCTTGTCGACTCTCTCTCTCCACCCCCTACCGTATGGACTCATAAACGAAGGGACCCAGTAAGTTCTGTGCACTAGACCAGCACCACCTGTCACAGTTGTCCCTCTGCAAATATTTGCTGAATTGAAGACTGCAACAACCAGAGCCGTTTCCACTGTGGGCATGCTGTCCAGGGCTCTTGCACCCCTCTTATTACTACCCCAAAGAAAACATTTCACTAAAGCTCATCCCTAAATGATCAGCCTACGAAACCTCCTCTGACATGTTATCATAAAGAGGTCTATTTTGGGAAAAATAAAATTTCCACTTGCATCCTAACTATTCAGCTGTGATGTTAAACCGGGCTTTTAAAGCCAGAGCATAAAATAGCATTTGAAGGATAAAAAAGCAATGTTGACCCCATTTTCGTCTTCAGGTAATGTGAAGGGACAATTTAAGGCTTAAGCGTGGACTTCGAGGGAGAAACAGAATATTGCCAGATGTTCCCTGTTCAGGGGCTGGGCACCTAATCAAGGAGAAAACCTTTATAAAAACCCGTCGCTTACAAATGCCATATGTATGTTGTAATTGCGCGATCATTACTTTTTGGTAACTTGGCAATTAACTTCTGAGGTAATTTTTTCATGATAACTACAGCCACATTTCCCACACACATTACCTCCTGTGTATAGAATGGAAATCTAATTACTCTGTCCTGGAAAATTGCTTTATCTACCTGCAGGCTAGAAATTGCATGATAAATCCAAAAAGATAACCACCAAAATAGAGAAGTCATTCAGTAATCATTTTTCAGCCAACAAAATTAATGTCTACAGGAAAAATACAGCCATTATCCCCTCTAAACAGCCACATGGGTAGGAAAAAAATAACAATAAAAACAAAGCATTTTTTCTTAAAAAAAAAAAAAAATCTGAACCCACATTTGATATTCAACTGGATGATAGTCCTTCCCTTCTGCATTTTAAGTAGTGCCAAAAATAATCATCTCACCTCTGCTCCGTTCCTGTACAAAAATACCAATCTATTGTGGGCTCTGGGAATCCTGCTGCCACACACTGGAGCATGCCATTTGTGAGCCTGTCATAAGTCAGGATTTCTGGTTTTGCTGCAGGAAAAGAGAAGTGGCCATATGTCAGACGGCTGAAAAACCCCAGCAAGAATTGCCCCACTCCTCCCAATCCTTCAACCCTTTGAGGGTGTGAGGGGGTTGTGGGGAGCTCGGGGGAACAAATTCAAAGGGAGAATCTAAACCAGTGAGTGGGAGATACAGAGAAGTGGACAGGAGAGTCCAGCCATGACTTTCACAATTACTGCTGCCCACACCCCATGAAGACCATCCCCAACCGCCCTGGAGATGTGACGGTCTCTGCAAAAAGAGTTCGCTTGACCACCAGGCAGGTTTCTGCTTCCAGCCAGGGACAATCTGAAAGATGGGCTTCTGGGCAGGGCTCCCAAGTCCCAACTATTCTAAATGTACAAATCCTGCTTAAAGGATTCCTGACAGTAGGATTCAATGACGGTATCTGCCATAGGATTTCAGGTTATGATGGCAACTGGAATAGATGACACTATGAGCTGTTAACAGATACAGGATGGCCCTATTCTCTTTTTAGGGGGCGAGAAGGGTGGTGCTGATGAAGAGCTGAATCATCCTATTTATGGGGAAGCAAAAACATAAAAAAGACAAAATGTGCTTTTAACTCCAAATCTTTATTTCGAATGCAAAATACAGACAGAAAAATTAGAAGAGAAAGCCAGCCCAAGAATTTTATTCGTACACGTACCTAGAGTCTGGATATAATCAGCAAAAACATAAATTGTATCAGCGGGAAGGCTCTAATTTGACACTTCTATGTAACTACAATAATCAATGGATATTCAACAATTTCAAATTCTTGAAATCATTTCTGAAGTGAAAGGAAGATGAACTTATGTTCATTTGTTCTAAAGGCAATAAGCTTGAAGGCGCCTAATGCTTTGAGAACAAGCCCCTAAACTGTTCATCTTGAGGACATGGTCAGTGCCCACCCATACCCTTAAAGGGATAGCAATGAATAGGCCACACCTGAACACAGAACCATGAAGGCCAAGTGTGTGGTGGGCAATCTGAGCGCCAGCTCCCACTATTACCATTAATGGGGCTCTGCCCCTTTAAGTTTCTGAATGTCCCTCCTAATTTCTGTTTCCTCATGTGTAACACGGGAATAATAGTGGTACCCACTTCATAGGGATATTGAGACAAGACAGATGAGACTGTGTGCACAAAGAATGACTCAGAGAAAAGAAACAATGCATTTATTATTAATCATTATTACTGATTCATCCTTTTCTAATCAAAGTACCTCCCCTCCTTGGCTAATCAAGTTTTCTACAGATTAAGTTAACTGTGTCTGCCACGCTTAATACTCCCTTCAATGATCTGAAAATTGCTTCTTTAAGACAGTGAGATAATGTGCATGTGTTTTACCTGGGTGTATTGGGAATTCAATATTAATTATATTGCAACTTATAAGAGCAATAAATGGTGAGGAGACTGACAGATCAGAAGCCTAGGAAGCCTATCTCTCCAAAAGAAGGTAATACTGATAAAAGACATCTTCGTAGAACAACCTCTCAGTAGCTCACCTCCTTGGAGGCAAAATGAGTTGGCAAAGATTGGAGTGTCCACATGCATGACACACCCACCTGTCACTCAGCCTGGCCCTGCTGATGGGCAGGCCATTTGGCAAATTTCACACAAAAGAACTACTCTCCAAAGCAATCTCAAGGTAGGAGCATCCTTGAGAGCTTGGATCCAGTGCCAGCTTTCACAAATAGAGCAAGAAGACGAGCCATCATCTTGCAAAAGCATCCATCTGGCAAGTTTCATTTAATTATCATGGGCAACTGTGTGATCAGGCTGAAAAGTAGGACATAAGACAAAAAAAACCAGTGGACTCTTAGGGGAATGCTACTTTGCTGAAGACTGGAGGCACCATACGGTGGGGTCTCTCTCTGGACTCGATTTAAGTGTCACCTCCTTTTTGAAGCAACCTCCAACTCTCCAAAACCAAGTCGAATGGTCTCTCTCCCTGTTCCTGCATCTGACACTTGCACAAAATCTTAGTCCTCCTCCTCCATCAGCTTCCCATATTCTCAGGAGCAGAAACCACATCTTATTCTTTACACCTCTGACTCCTGGCCCAGGGTCTGACCTCACAGACACACAGTAAGGGCAATCACTGGATCCCACCCAAAGGAACAAGTCTTTAAGATTCCAAAGGCATTCAATTAGTCACAAGAAGGGACCTGGAAGAAGAGCCAAATGGTGACTTTTCTGGGTCAGGAAGTTGATTTCTACTATTCTTTCAACAGACTGCTATAACATAAGAAATCCTCATATATGCCTAGCCATGTGATTTTTTTTTTTAAATACTGAGATTAATGATGTGTAGGTCACACATTGATGGCAGAGATAATGGATAGGACTCAAATGGGAATCAAGTTCATAATACAAATCTATTTCCACCTCCATTCATTTTGTCAATCGTCCCACCCAATGCCCACTATGCCACATGAAGGACTTTTAGTGGAATTAAATATTAACACAATAGGGGAAAAAAAGAAGCTTTATAAGGCTGAAAAAATACCTTAAGATGTTGACAATGATCATCTCTGGGTAGCAGAACATGGATAGTTCTTTTGACTTATTTTCTAATTTTATTCTATAGTGAACATGTAGCCAAAAATGAACCTATAAAACATTTTTTAATTAAAAAATTGGAACAGCTCAAAATTACATAATCAATTACATTGAGCCTTGGTGACAAGTGCTCTAAGATCCAAGCCTCCTAGCATGACACCTGGTAGCAGTTACACAACGGCCATGGCAGGCAATTGTGCGGTCTGGCTGGCCTACTTGCTCCTGATGCTGGTTAATTAGGTGGTTTTTTTAAAGCTTTTATCCCAGGTGGATCATGACCTGAGGCTAAATGAGCAGCCTTTGTCCTTTTGGGCCTCAGACTGTGCTAAATCTTCAATGTGCATTAGACTTACTAAGAGAGGTTAAATGCAGATTCTTGGGCCCGCCTCCAGAGCTTCGGTAAGCGAGGACTCTGATCCAGCAATGGGCTTTTTAAAAGCATCTTCAAGAAACCTTGACCAGGGCCAGGTATAGGGTGAGGCAAGAGGAGCAACCCAGGTGAGGAATTGAGAAGGCTTAGATCCCAAAAGTCTCTTAAGTTGGCAACTGCCATTGAGTGGCTCCTTAAATTTTACACCTCTCACCTCACCCTAGCCCCAGCCCTGTCCTGAGTGCTGGTGGTGTGACATCTCATTCTGAAAAGGCTTAATTACAAACTAGTCCAGTGTGGACTATAAATGGCAAGTTGCATTAGGAAAATGTCTAATTCATAAAGAATGAGCAAGGGTGAAATTTGATTCCTTAAAAATGAAAATCTGGGCTCATCTGCATTTGTAAGTGCCTCAATGCACCGTGTAAGGCATTAAATATACATTTTGCTGTTAAAGATACATAACTCTGCAATTTTCCAGGTTAAATCCGAGCTGTGGTTTCTTAGCCATTCTGCAATAAGCAGTGTACCAAATGACACATTCCCTAATTCCTCCCAAGTTGGGGGTTTAGGTAAGCCTAAGAGGTGCATAAGTTATGTATTTCCAGTGGAGATTTAAAAAAATAGTCTTTCTCCTTTCCAGAGCATGGTAGACTTGGGTCACTCTGGTATCTTCAACAACAATCAGCTTGTAGGAAGTCAACTATGAAGAATTCATAGCTCGTGCAATTAAAAATCCTAAACATTCTGGTTTACTCCACGGATTTTGTAATCTTGAAAAATATTCCCTTTTCCTACCATCAGGTCCATGTGGAAGGCAAGAAGGAAATGAATTTTAAGAACATAGCACAGATACCAAGAGCTGGCAGTTGCGGGCTGGGTGTGGATATGCATCCTGGGAAGTGGAGGGGGAGGGCCTTCTTTCATTCATCTCTGTGTGGAGAAGCACTTTGAGTACAGCTCTTCTCTTGTCCAGTTCCACCTTACCCATCTCCTACTGTACATGCACATTTGCTCACGCTATGTCATCAGCAGGACAAAGAACACAGGCTCAAGTCTCCAAATAATAAAAAGACTAAATGAAGAGCGATCCAAAGGATGAATTTCTGCTTCTACAATTCTAGGGCTGCTGGTGTTTAATGGCAACGAGGCAGTGCTTTTCAGAAATCTGTCACTACCCTGGTTTTGGTCTGGGTGAAACCTACATTCCTGCCACAACACTGTTATAATAGAGGAATTTAAATCAGCTAAACTAGGAGGACAAAAATAACTCAAGCTAACTTTTTTACATACTAAAGGAAATATTAAACTTTTTAGAAAATCTCCAGAATAGATTGCATTTCACACATTTTTAAGAATACCCAGAAATTGGTACGTGAGTACTTCAATAACAAACAAAACAAAAATTCAACCATGGTCTCCTGTACCCAGCTATTTTTGAGACAGCGACTCTTGGAGGACTGCAAGCTCAAAGTCAGTCTCAGCAAATTAGCGAGGGCTACGCAATTTAGCAAGACCCTGTGTCATAAAAATTTTAAATGAGCTGGGGATATGGCTCAATGGTTAAGTGCCCCTGGGTTCAATCTCTGGTACCCCTCCCCCTCAAAAAAAAAAAAAAAAAGAGGAGGAAGAAGAAAAAAAGAAATGAAGCAGTCATCTCAAATAGGAGTCAACAAACTTCCACCGTAAAGGGTGAGATGAGCGTTCAGGTCTGGTGTCTCCTACATCAACTCAGCCCTGTGGCTGGAATATAAGAGTTGCCATAGACACTGCCTGAACAAACAGGCAGGGTTGTGTCCAGTGAAACTTTTCTATGGACCCTGAAATATGAATTTTATTCAGGTCTCATGAAAGTTTCTGATTTTTTTCCCCATTTAAAAAAAAAAATTGCCGGATATGGTGGCGTATGCCTGTAATCCCAATGGCTAGGGAGGCTGAGGCAGGAGGATCGCAAGTTCAAAGCCAGCCTCAGCAAAAGTGAGGCACGAAGCAACTCAGTGAGACCCTGTCTCTAAATAAATACAAAATAGGGCTGGGGACGTGGCTCAGTGGG